AGAGAGAGAGAGAGAGAGAGAGAGAGAGAGAGAGAGAGCGGCACATGAAAGGAAGACATAAGAGCCTTTATTTCTGTGCACTTGTAGTTTGAAGTAATAGTGAATTGAATATAGATTTTATAGAATATTCTGTTAGATCTTGAAAGCAATGCTCGCCTTTTGGCTAAATCTGTTATACATTTCATTTACTAAAACATTAAATAGAAGTAAAAATTTGTAATTGTCTAATTTTGACAAGGATATTTGTATCTTTAGTTAATATGATTAAAATATTAAAATGTACTAAATATTTGTTAATTAATCAATTTTTATTAATTGAAACAGTAATTTGAAAATAAAAGTTATTATTTAAATTAGAGTTGGTCAGTTGATTAAGTTATATTCAAAATAATTAAGCCATATAATGTAAATTTTTAAAAGATATAATAAGATCTTTAATATTTAAGTTATAGTTAAATAATGATCTTGGTCATTGTTAGACAGATAAAAGGTCGTAGAAAATAGATTTCTTTGTTGTTTTATTTATTTGTGTAATACTTAAACACTATGAACGGCACAACTCGTCAAATGATTCGTTGAGAGTCTTCCGGAATAAAAATATAATAATAAAAATCTCTTCAAAAATATATGACAAGAATTCAATTTTGAATTATAAATGATATAAAAATAGAATTTCTTATATTTGTAACGTTTAGTGCTTTAGAATATAGTTTATTGTCATTCTTGACAACAAATATAAGTTGGGTTTTGATTATTTATAAATTAAATATAAAATAAGAACTACTATTCTATAACAATAAAAGATATGAGAGAGACTAGTATTTAGCGACAAGAAATGAACAAATAATTACTAAATATTGCCCACAATTATATATACTTTACAGTTATTCATTCTAGTAGTACTTAATAATTATATATTTTACATCATACTAATTACTGTTTTTAATTTTATCATTAATGTTAAAAACAAATACCAATAAAAATCTATATTATTTAATTATAAAATCTAATTATATATTTTGGCTTAAATAAAACAATTAGTTTCTTATTTGGATACAAGTGTTGATTGTTTTATAAAATACAAGAATAGAGTTCTCGATAATTGCTTTATTCAAACAAATGTTTACACAAATCTTTAAACAAGAAATGATTACAACAACAAAAGTAATCATCAAATCGAGGAAATTAAAGCCTAAATAATGGCAAATAATTTTCATTTCTAATTAATTGATTATTTATGGCTACAATTGACAATTATATTATACATGAGACGCTATTATCGATATATATTATTTATGCAAATAATTTGAAGCTGATCATTAAATCAAATTAAATTAATTTCAGTGGTTAACATTTAGCATAATACACTAAAATTGTAATTGATTTGTGCACAAAATAGCATAACATTAAAGTTGCTAATCATAACGCTTTAAATGAATCAATTGTTAATTAAAAATAAGTAATAATATGTAAAAATTAATGATGAGAGGAAAAATGTAATAATAATACCTGTTTTCCATTTTCTTTCTCAATCTTATATCGGGTTTCAATGGATCGTCGGGTCTCTAAGAAGGCATTCCTTTGGGCGCAATCTGTCAGGTATTTAGTGTATAGACTGACCAAATTGATACACGTGTACAACAATGCATTCGCTGTTATCTACAACAAATAAGTCACATTTTAAATCCTTTATATAAATCGTGTATTTCATTAAATATATCATAATTAAAGTATGGCAACAAATATTTAAATATTTGCAGTGGTTATAAATGTGGTGATTAAAAATCTATCCGAATTATGTAATAAGGGTTACATTAGCAAGGGTTTTTACAAAATATTATATAAAGCAAAAATATGATGCCTCGCTTTAATTATAATGTAATTTTCGGGTTATCCTCACTCTAACACATATGAGAATTAAAATATTTTTTAACGCTTTTATCTTCTTATAAATAGTAACCATAAATAAAAAATAACATATATTTCGCATTTAAATAGACATTTCTCTCATTTAAACCGTGTAAATTATTGAAGTAATACTAATGGTTTGAAATATTTAATGTGAATCCTATGGTGTGAATATAATTAATGATTATTAAAATCCTATTTCTATAACATAATTGTTGACATAAAACGTGATAAAACTAATGAAATTAATTAATTTTAAAAGTACTTCTCTCTCTCTCTCTCTCTCTCTCTCTCTCTCTGGTCTTTGATTTTTGTGCATTTACTCTTTTAATAATCAATTCTTAATTAATACGATAGATAACAGAATTTTAGTGACTTTCATAAACTGAATTCATTAGTAGAATAAAGTGAGAATTACTTAAATTTAAAGTATAGAAAATCTAAAAAATAAAAATAATTAAATGCTTTTATAATGATTTTCATTTTGAAACATGTGTATTGATTTAGAAGTAGTATTTTAATTTCTTTCAAATAATGGGGTTCTTAACAATTCAATGCAATAATTATGAAAATGAAGCTATTTTCTGATAATTGTATTTGCAATTCTACAACACATACACTATAATGTCTCACATACACTATATTATCTCTATATAAAGAATAACATTCTATTCCCGAAAATAGCGATTTATTAAAAAGCAAATTAAATTGTAATATTTGTAATCAAATCATATTTTACATTAACAACGTATCCCTGTGTGGGCATGAGATTCACTCCGGGATATGAATAAACAAACAGTGAATGCATTGAAATACACAGAGAGACAACCTATTGACCACTTGGTTTTGTATCAAATCTAATATTGTATCCAAACATTGCATTTATCATTCATTTAGTGGATGACTGCCTTCACAGTGATGTGAACGCACTGCTTGTCTATAGAATATTCTTTCGTTATTATTATTTCTCAATATATAAATCTCTTATTTATAAATACTGTATATTATATGGAGTTATATATAATAATCGAATTCTATAAATAGTTTGGATGAGCAGCGCATACCTATCACATCTATGTCACTATATTAACCAATAATCAATAAATATTGCAAATAACATGTATTGCAAATCTTAAATCTTTTTCAAATCAATAAATCAACTAATTATCAAGAGTTTGTCTGTTTATTACAAGGTTTTGATTCATGTAAAATACTCAATCATTTATAGTTTAAATATTTTTATATAATATATATAAATATATATTATATAAATAAAATCAGAATTCATAAATTACCCACACCTTGACGAGTAATAAATACCCTCATATATTATCGATGAATATATAGAGCTTAATAAACTAAATAATGCACTCTTTTAGACTGTATTGTATATTTCTATTCATACCATTCTTATAAATGTATTGTTATATCCATTTGCTTTGTTGAGAAAGGTTTCGAGAATGAGGTCCATAAGAGAGCTGATGGCACCGCATATCACACACCATCTCAAAGGCAAAGGCATCATAGCATACGTTACGAACACTATGAATAGGATGTGCCAAACGGCACCCCCGGCCACAGCGATCTCCAACTGCTCCTCATGTAGTTCTATACCAAATCCTATTTGACCTAGAGTATACACAACATATTTTCATTAGATTTCATATATTATTTCATTAGCAATTTCTTAATATAATTGTGTAAATATTATATTTTAATTTCGTTTTTATAATTAAAGTAATTATTAAAGTTTAAAAATAAAAAGAAAGATATAATATAACAATGCAGAATGTGGTAAATGAGCTGTTTGTCTAATAATTAGTTCGTTAAGCAATTTAGATGCAAAATATAATTTATTAATTAAAAAACTTTCTCTAAACAGATGTTTATTAATTTGTATATCTGTACATTTAATCAATAAACTGTATTTTTATTGAATTAAGATATCATGCGTTAATTTTATATAAAGTTATATACATTTAGAAATATGTAAAAGAAAGAGTTATAAATTCATATAAGAATTTAAGTATTATAACATAATATGAGTTTCTGTTGTTATGTATTAATCAAAACATATTAAAACACATTAAAACTAAATGTATGATAGAGTAAATCATATAATACATAATTAATTATTAGCCTTATTTTAACAATATATAGAAATGTATATATTAAAATGCACACATGTAGTCTATAAATTCATACATGTATTATATTAGTTCAAAATAATAAATAAACTTATTCTATATTATACTTAAACTTATATTATAGTATTTGGACAAAGATTTTAATGAATTGAAGCAAATAATATCTTAAATTTGAATTGCAATAATTCATGCATTATGAGAACATGGTGTTAATACCGTAATATTTTAATAAATTTATCAGACAGTATTAAATACTTGAGAATTTAACAGAATATTCAGTGAATAGAAAGAAATGAAACAACTTTAACAAACATGTATTTCATAACTCAATGTAAAGTTTAAACTCAACAACAAAAGAGGCCAGAATAAAATAGGGAATATTATTAATATGATGTGGAATCACCAAGATGTTTGTAAAATATAGATTTATATTAGAGTACACTACGTATATGTGACTTAAATAGTATATAAATGACAACATAAGGGTTAGATGTGAGGTGTACTGAGGCGTCAATTTTGGCCGAATCTAATATAGACACCGAAATTAATAAATAGGTATTCAATACAGTGTTTGAGAGGATCTAAGTTTCGGCGACTGATAAAAACGGAATGAAATTCAAGTCGAGATTTATATCAGATATTAGATAATAGGATAGAAGTGTGAAATAGAAATAAATGGTGGATTCAGTTATTAAATTTTGTATACAATGTGTGCAGTTATGCAGTTATACTATACTATGTGGTCATTCAATGAAATATAAGTTCTTAATTGAAATATTATTTATACGGGAAATAATAACTGCCATGTGTTGAAACTTGTAATAAAGTTTTCACGTTCATCACAAATTCTAAATTGTATATACATTTGCAAAGCATGTTTGCTACTTTAACAACCAGTGTATAACAATTATTATTACGATTATTAAGGCACAGATAGAGAAGGAAATTGCAATTTCTTGAATCAATATATAATTATCAGATTCTCATCAATCAAACAAAATGTAAAGCATTTCAGATGTAGTGAATTATTCTTACAATACATTGTTAGTCAATATTTACAGTATTATAGCATATGGTCTATAATATTTTGTACTTCATTTGTACTTCTAGTATAATACTTTACTCTGTAGTACATTTGGAATAATATTTATTTAATGTTTATACTGTATAATGTTATAAGATTGTAATTTATAAATTCTAAATCTTATGTCTCCATAATTATTCAATTTATATCCTATTACTACTGTATATACTAATAGAAGTTCACGAATGGGACACACAATCTAAACCACGGATCCTTACGGCATTTTTCATTACACAAATTTTTTTACAATCATTGTATCTGATATCTGAATAGTATTAGTGACACAATGTCGTTCATAAATAATAAGACAGATTTGCACCTATTTTTACACCTGATTGCATTTGTAATCTAAACGATACATGTAAAGTTATATCGATGGGTTATAATAAAAGGATCTTATTGTAATCAAGAGGTTGTAATCTAGTTTTTAATATTTTAGTAATTGTGGATTAATATATGACACAATATATCAAATAACCCGCAAATAGTGTTATATCAAATAAAATAATAATCTTGGTATCATATATAACATAATAATGCAAATTTTCGTATTTTTTAAATATAATTTTCATTCAAAATAAAGATATTGACAAAATGTTATATAATAGCCTTTATTTGGAATTATTCAAAATTATATTATTCTGCAATTAAATAAAGAAATATTAAAAGCAAATTGTCGGCAAATTTTGCAAACAATGAATGTATGTGAAGTAATTTATGATCATAATTTTCAGTAATTTACGTTTTTCTTTACTATGTTTAATTTTATTCATTATTAAATATTATTTAGTATTTAAATATTACCATCATAAATATAAGTGATTTTTCAAACGTGTAAAGAAAAATAATATTATCGTTTGAAATGTTATAAAATATGTTAAACAAACTTACATAAACAAGCATAAGCTTATCTCTTGATTAAAAACACGTATAACTTTTTCAGAATAAAAATCTATTTTTGCTCTTTTATAATAATATCTCGACTATAAATTATAATTAGTACAATAATTTAAGCATATATTTCGTGTTGTGTTTATAATTATGTTTATAATAACTTGTAAAATATTGTTAACATTTATATGTTTTTGTATTAAAACTGTGTAAATGTTTTGCTCTTAAAATATTATAAATCACTCATAAATGACAACATTGAAGGGTAATTATATTTTACAATTTAATGCTAAATTAATCAATTTTACTGAAATATACTGTATTACTATTACTTGTAATAAATGTCATTAAAGCCATCACAACAACAATCAATCAATAATTCATTTTAATCAAAATATCTATATAACTAAGCAGTTATAAAACTACAGAGAATTTTTATAATTAATAACGTAATATTAATAGTAATTGTAATTATAATTTTAATTACAAAATCTAAAACTAATATAATTGCCAAACTAACCTTGTATATTGAATATAACCCAAGTGAATATAGCACCCAAATGTAAATAATTATTAGCAAATTGTTTCCAACACGTGATGAGCGCAATGAGAGAGGCGTTGATCGCAAACCACGGAATGTTATACAAAATGCGATACTTGAGTCTATCGGTGGCGTCGCCGCCATCGGACCCGTCGGCGGGAGGCGTGCCGTCGCTTATGGCATATATAATCAAAAGACTCAGTTTAAGCAATATATCGATTACGTTGAGAATGAGCAGCGATTTTTGGCGCTGACGGTGCGAATAGCGCTGGTATGAGGCCTCCAGATGGGCGTCCTTGAAGTCGTTGGTCAACTTCGGCAATAGTATGCCTTTCCAACTGACCGACCAGTCGTCCGATGTGGTGAAGTAGTGGGTAGGGGTCGTGCCGTCGTCGCCCGCATCGGCGCCCTCTATCACCACATCGACCGCCGTATCCGAAGGGCTCGAATCGGACAGTGTTTCGCACACTTCCTCTAACTTCCCATTAATAATATCGCAATTTCCAAAACTATGTTTCACTGGACTTATAGACACCGACGGTATAGACGCCGATTTGCCATCACTTTGTTGTATACACTGTTTCGGTGCCTTATTTTTAATAAGTTTCTGTTTGAGAATATTTGCACTTTTCTTTCCATTAGACTTAGTCTTAGTGTTTGTGTTTTTGTCAGAAGTGGTGATCAGCTCTTGAAGACCAATATCTTGTTGACCACTAATTGTCACTTTTGAGCGGTCGTTGCATAACATGTCATTCATTCACATATTACTTAATGTCTTATAAATAAATTATTTGTAAATATTTCCATATAATTTCACAAATGTTATTCACTTTGTTGTAAATGTTGTTTATATTAACCACTTATAAAGTCTGTGTTTTTGATTATTATTCAAGTCTTGAACTGAAATAATAAAAGTTGTATTAATTAAAGGAAATTTAAAAAATAAACTGAATATACTTTTTTGTATTTAAAATTAGTTTTTATAATTAGATTCAAAGTTAATGTGTGAATAAATTGAGGATAAAATTTGCATAATTCTCTATTTTTAATACAAGTTTAACAAAATAATAAGTAAACTTTTAAAAATGCAAGAAATGCCTAAAATTATAAACTCAATTAAATAACCAGAAGGTAAATATACTTAATGATAAATATTTGTGTTTGAGTAAACATTAAATCATAAAGAATTTGATGTTTATAATGCATATTTTGAATGAATAATACTTTGCATATATTGTTTTGGTTAACACAAGTCATATACATTTACAATTATTAAGCATAGAATTAAAATCCTATTTAAAATAAATTCAAAGAGTATTTAAATAAAGTAACTAAACCATAACTTATGATTACTGAACCACAATTCAATGCAATTTTATGGATTATATTTAAGAAAATATAATAGTAAACCATTTGAACACAATATTATATAAATTAGTAGAATAGGTGGAAAATAACTAGATATTAAAATACATTCTTCACAACATTAAACTTACGGTATTTTAAAGACAAGAATCTCTTTTAAAATAACTTGAAAATTAGTGCAAAAAACGTAAAAATAATATATTTTTAGGATTAATGATAAACAGATGAGTAGAGAATGAATTGAGACTAAAGTGAAGTCATATGTAAAATAAACTAAAAATAAAACAGAAGTCAAATTTATTATGCATTTACTTTTCTATACAATGCTATTCGCGTCTGTTATATAATACAAACCATAATGTAATTGTTTATTAATGCTCACCATTTATACTATTTTATAAAATGGCATGTATAAAATAATATTAAATTACGGCATCACAAACTCATATAAATATTATTCACTAATTAAGGCTAATTGTGTCTAAATGTGAATAATTATAATTATTTAAAAAACTAACGCCTAATCGGATCGTCAGAGCACTCATAACAAAGTGTTTATCTCTTCATAATTGAACCCAAAATATGCGTTTTAATCAATAAATTCATTTCACTTTAAAAGTATTAATTCATTATAATTATTATTATATATTATATTAATATTATTTAATTGTATGGAAAAAATTATTTCAACATTTTCTGAATATGCGATTTATTAAACAGTTTTCTCATTAGAGAGATATATTGCATAACTCAGTGAATATTTGAAAATATAGTGTATAATAAGTCTTTGATTATGAAATCATTTTAATAAAAGTCAAAGTAATCTCTCATTTTACAGAAAGGCACAATTTTTCACTTTTATGCAAATATTTTACTTACATTTTTTCCTTCATATATACTTTAAATCATCCTTAAGTCATAATAATTACAAATCTCGTTCTCTCTCTCTCTCTCACACACACACACAAATGAGATTTACTTTTTATATTTATTTTTATATATTCAAAATTCATATCATTATTTATTTTTATTTTTCAGCACAAAATATAGTGATTTGAAATCAATTCAAAATCACTGATTTCAACTTAATTATTATATTTTAATTAAGTCCTATATTTTTATAATATTGAAGTGATTATAATATTATTTAATATCATTTATATTAAAATATCTTTAAAATGTAATCTTAATCAAAAATAGCTTTGATTCACAAACAAGATTTAAACAGCGATGCTATTCCTTAACCACAATAATTATTCAAGTTATACTCAAAGAATAGATTATCATTTTTCATTAATATCACCATGATCCATTTTATATTAGTCCCTTAGACTTAGCACTGCTCATGTTAAACCTATGTCGTAGACTTAAAGTGTAACATTAGCCCATAGGATTAGCATTACCCATGTTAAGTCTATGTCATAGGATTAACATGTACTTACATTTTACATCCCGTCGGGTGGAAGCCGAACGACCCTATAAACCACATTATTCATGTCTGAATTGTGGTTAAAACAAAATATATGAAATTTCATTTCAATATTTATATAATTTAAATTTAAAATTCTGTTCAAAATTATATTAATATTATTCTCGTTTTCATTTCAAACAACATTTAGTAATGATTTCCAAAAATGCATTTATTTATAACAAAATATATATGAGAGACATAACTCATAATAGCGTTTTCACTATAGACTATACATTACAAAAACGCTATTATTGAGTTAGAGCTTTCATATTCAGAAAATATCCCTTATTTATGATTTCAATCATCGATCAGACATTAAAACACATAAAATACAAATAATTGAGTTTCGATGGGAATTATTTAGAGATTAAAGTCAATCACAAGCAAAACAATGTTTCTGACTTATGAGTGCAAATATTGAATTTAAAAATATTTGTTATCATAATTACATTTATTTGTCTCCATTTAACCATATACTTTATAATTAACGTACATTTATAAACATTAAAATATTATATCCTAACAAATCTATAATAGAACAAAATATATAATGTATATTATATTGTATACTGTTATACACTATTCTATTCTAACAACATATTCTGTAAATTTTTATAATATACCATTGATTTAATATATTATTTTCAATAAATATAATGGGAATTCTATTGTGAAAATCCACAGGAAATTTTTAAATTATATTTAAAATATATCAAAGTGAAATTATCTACAAAATTTTAATTAATTAACTTATAATGAATCTTATAATTTAATTATATAATAAATTAGTATTTACAACTACAACAATTACAACATGATAGTTATAAATTGTAATCATGTATTTACTATACAAGATATTGACTATAAAATCATTGCATTTATAAGTAAAACATAAAAATATAAGTGTTGTCTAAACTAAACTAAACTGTTTATCATTAAATTCTATAAATCTTATATTATTTTACTTTTTATTCAAACTAATTGTTATGCCATTACATCTCATATGGCATTCATTTAGTCTTAACCCTGAGCTTGAATTTTGGACTTAAGTTATGGATTCCTCTCTTAAGAGATTATAATGTCGTATAAAATGTTTATTTAAATTCCTTGTTTTATAAAATAACAAACATTTAAACTAATCTTAAAGTGAATTCTTATAGAATAAAAAGATTATTTGTTTTGTATAAACTTTTTCAAACAATTTGTTTAGAAATTGCAATCATTTGAAAAATTAATCAAAAATGAGTGCGAGAGAGAGAGAGAGAACGAGATTTGTAATTATTATGACTTAAGGATGATTTAAAGTATATATGAAGGAAAAAATTATTTCAACATTTTCTGAATATGCGATTTATTAAACAGTTTTCTCATTAGAGAGATATATTGCATAACTCAGTGAATATTTG